TGTACTGTCAGGGGAAGAATGGCTTCCAGAGAGTCTCTGCAGGTTTTGTGCAAGGTCCTCCTGGTTTACAGCTTCCGAACGGCTTTCATGAACACAGTCCACTGGACCTCTGACTCCTCGGGTTTAGTCTGTATTCTCATGTTCTCAGAGTCCATGTTCACCAGCTGCTCTTCCCCTGACTCTGGACCTTTCTGGTTTTCAATGTCAGGAGCAAGAGTGGCCCGTTGTATGGCATGTATTCCCGGGGGTTTCTCCATGTTTGAATGATTCAGGCACATCTGTGGGTGGGCATCTGCAGCCGGTGCATGGTGGGCCAATTGTGTCAATGTTTGTCTGTGTCAAGGTAGTTCTCAATGAAGCAGTGGTGGCTGGCCTGAGGGCTGGCATGCAACAGCACTCACCACTCTGTGGCTTCCTGTGCACCAGAGCCCCTCCTCCCAGGTGCCCGTTAGGCTGGGGGCCGGGCCAAGGGCCAGCGCTCCCCGCCCTGTGGCCTCCTGGGCACTGGGGGCCCTCCCTCCGGGGGCCTACGAGGCAGGAAGCTAGCCAGCCGGAAGACTGGCGCTCCCCATCTGTGGCTCCCTGTGCGCCCGAAGCCCTCCTTCCGGGGGCCTACAAGGCCGAGAGTGAGCCGCTGGTCCGAAGACTGGTGCTCCCCGCCCGAGGCTCCCCGTGTACCCGGGACCCTCCCTCCGGGAGCCTACGAGGCAGGAAGCTAGCCAGTCGGAAGACCAGTGCTCCCCGCCCGTGGCTCCCTGTGTGCCGGAAGCCCTCCTTCCAGGGAACTACGAGGCTGGGAGTGAGCCGCTGGTCAGAAGCCCGGTGCTCCCCCGGTCTCTTTTCATTTAAGATGAATTTTAGGAATGTTATCTCTAGTTCTATGAGGTATACCTGTGGTATTTTGATTGGGATTGCATTAAATCTATATAACAATTTTGAGAGTATGTCCATTTTCACTACGTTGGTTCTTCCTACCGAAGAACAAGGGATATCTTTCCATTTTCTTTTGCTTTCTTCTTTTTTTCTTTTTGAGACAGGATCTCACTATGCAGCTGAGGCTGGCCTTGAGCTCACTTTGTAGCCCAAGCTGGTCTCAAACTCATAATGATCCTCCTGCTTCAGCCTCCCAAGTGCTGGGATTATAGGCTTGTACCACCATGCCTGGCCTTCCATTTTCTGATATCCTCTTTAATCTCCTTTTTCAGAGTACTGTAATTTTCAATATATAAATCACTGTCTTTTTTAGATTGACTCCTAAATATTTCATTTTTTTGTATGCCATTGTAAAGGGTGTGGTTTCTCTAATTTCTCTTTCAGCAAGTTTATTGTTTGTGTACAGTAATGCTATTGATTTGTGTGTGTTGACTTTCTATCCAGCTATGCTATTCAATTTGGTAATTAAATCTAGAAGTCTTTTGGTGGAATTTTTGGGCTCTTCCTGTAGAGCATTATGTCATCTGTGAATAGTGATAATTTAACTCCTTCCTTTCCTATCCTTTATTCCCTATATTTCTCTCTCTTGTCTAATTGCTCTGGCTAGTGTTTCCAGAACTATGTTGAATAAGAGTGGTGATAGTGGACATCCTTGTCTTGTTCCTGATTTTGGAGTCTGTGCACTTTTATAAAGCTAACTACTTTGAAAATTATAATTTGACAGGAAAGTTAAAAATGTATATACAATATTCCTGATGTATTGGTTCTAACACCTCATCCTTTAATACTCAAATCCCATATGTAAAATATCATAAGATTTGCATGTAAGGTATATACATTCTCTTACATGCTTTACATCATCTGTGGGATAGTATTAATACTTAATGCAATATAAATAATTGATACACTGTATACTTGGAGAATAATGACAAGAAGTCTGTGTGTTTCCAGTACACACATTAATTTTTTTCTGAATATTTTGATCCGTTGGTTGAATCCACAGATGCAAAGCTGTGGAGGAAGAGTTGACTGTATTACCGTTGCCTGGGAACCATATGTACACTAACATGGAAATTTAAATTTCCCTTCTTTGAGCATAAAGAGGAGCAAGAAACTCCTTTTGTGGCTTGATCATGACCAACAATGTTAAATTTTTCATATTATTTAAAAACTCAGCTGGTTCATGTTGGTAATTTTCATATTTTGTTTCCAACTGATAAAATAAAATATATTTCAGGTCATTATTTATTAATATTTTTATATAGTATCTTCCATAAAGGAAAATAAAATTGGAAATAATAATAACTATAGTTTTGTACAGTGATTTGAGCCATTCTAGATATAAATAGTCTGGGTATAAGAATAGGTACCCCATGTTTATATAGGGTATAAATGGTAACCAGACAGCTCTATGATTGTTTTTTTTTTTTTTTTTTTGGTTTTGGTTTTTCTCCGGTACCGGGAATCGAACTCACGACCTTGTGCTTGCCAGGCAGGTGCTTCAGCTCTATGATTCTTAATTCTCATGGCTGAGTCACATCTTGACTTCCACTCACTACTTCGTATGTTTCCATCAGCCTTCCAAGGCTCCCAACATTTCCAGCTCAGATGCGGGTGGAGGGGTGAGAATTTTACCTGTTTATTTTTAGAACATGGAAGTGTATGTAGATATTATCCACGTCGTTTTTTGTTTAGTGATTCCTTTGAAAGGCCTTCCCTGTTCACCAAATTTAAGAAGGCTCCCTGCCCCTGGTTTTCCCTCGTGTCACCCCATGGTAGTTAGCATTGCACTACCACCATCAGTTGTGTTCTTACTCACTTTTAGACTTACAAGGTGTGATTGGAAACTATGATGAGTGTTCAAGTTAAAGAAATAATTACAGTGAAAGGTGCACTACTATGAGTCCGTCTTGTACTACTCCCTCTCACTTTGAACACACTTATCCTATCATTTTTTTCTAAAACAGTTCTGGGAGTTTTTTGGTATGTCTTTAGTTGTACTATTGTGGCTACCTCAGTGTTCTGAATCAATGAAACCATTTACCTTTCATGGTCATTTTGACTTTGAGAAACACCCAGAAGTCTCCCGGTGCCGTACCTGGTATACAAGGCGGCTGAGAAAACACTGATGCTTCTGTGAGCCTGCCTTTCTGTTGGGCACTTGGCAGTAGCATCTACCATATTTTTGATCATTCCTTGAAAAGATATAAAAGACGAGTTTTAGAACTGTTTTAGAAGGTGGCAAGAATGGTAGGATGAGTGTGTCCAAAGGGAGGGGAGTATTTTAAGGGCGGATTATTAGCAATATGTCTTAGCTGTAATAAGTTGTTTGAAACTTGAACATTTATTGTACATTTTAATCAGCCCCTCTACTTACTGATGGTTTGTCTCTCTCCACCAAGGACAATCTGGAAGGCAGTCTCTGCATTTAGTGCTGTATCTCCTGATCCTAGAGTAACACTCTGTGTTCAGTGATTCAGTGAATAAATGTCAAGGCTCCTCTCAATACCCTAGGCAAACTGCTGGGGAATGCAGATTTGGTGGGATGTTATTCCTCAACATTTCATTTCTTAGTCTTCACATTAAACTTTAGTGTAAACCCTGATATTCGTGTAATTTGATGGAGTGAATATGGGTAGGTTAGAATTCATTCCACCTGTGATTCCATTTTCGTTTTCAAAAAGCTCCGGAGACTATTACTTTCATTGTACTGTGAAAGCACGTCCGTTGGTCCATCGGAAGCCAACAGTCACAGCTGTATACAGGTTAAACAGCTCTTAGGTCCACTGTGATGTTAAGGCCCTGTATTCCCCTCCTCTCTCTAATTCCTTCTCTTTATGAATAAAACATTTAGTAATATAATATATTGGGTACTATGGCTGTATCTAGATGTTCCCCCCAAGCCTCATGAAGTCATAGGTGGGGCTTTTCAGAAGTGTCTGGATGTAGACTGTGTGATGCTGGGGTTTAGTGTGTGATGCTAGCATTGAGAGTGTGTGATTACTAAATGACTCTTCTGATTGGTCTGGCATAATCCTGGGTATGGATAATGGGAAGGCCCACCGGCGGTGTGAGTGCTACCTGCCCTGAAGGTGTGCGGCCTGGGTAGGTTATAAGAGAAAGAGGGCTGCTGTCATTGCTTGCTGCTTGCTGCTTTTGCTGTCTCCTGCCTTCTGCTTTTCATGCCATGAGCTGTTTTTTCTCCTCTGCCATACCACCCTGCCTTGTACTGGAGTATGGACTCCAGGTATGGACTGAAACCACTACGAACTGTGAGCCAAAATGAACCTCTCCTCCTTTAACTAGGTGTTGGACATTTCATCCTAGTAATGGGAAAGGTAACCAAGACGTTGGGTTCATGCTAATTCCGACTGGGAACTAGGATGCAGAAGCCTGCTGTACACTCAGCACTTTCCTTGTGTAGCAGTGTCCAGAGAAACTTGGAGCTGGTTCATTTCTACTCTTTTGTGTCCTGTCTCTTTCAGGGACCTGAAAGCAGAAAGGACAAAAGTGAGAGAGAGCGCCTGAGGTTGGAGGTAAGATCACACAAGTCATCGGGGGACGGAAGGAGCTCTGCGCAGGAAAAACAGCGAGAGGCATGCGTTGCTCCTGTGGCTGAGAAAAAGGCCTGAGTAGGACTTTTTTCTGCATAATGATGACAAGTACCCTTATTCCTGTGCGCTGCAGTTCACCATCTCAGGACGGCAGGATGACAACTGCGTAAGGGCACCCGCAGTTGCGGGCTGACTCCAGTGGGAACGGGGAAGGACTGCTTCTCAAGACAGCTTGCGTGGTACTCCAGTTACTTCTGGCATCTTGCTTGAGGCTGTAGTCTGCTTTCTAACCTTTTCATGCGGATAGGAAGCATAAAAGCATTTTCATAGAACAAAGTAATTTTTGAAAATGTAAAAATACTCTTTTTAAAGAGCCACCCACATATCTTTACCAACTCTCCTTGCATGTGAACCTTAAAATTTTAAATAAAAGCCTTTGGTGTGACTCTTTTTTATTTCCTTATTAGAAGTAACTATGTAAGTTTGTCTAATGACCATCCTTTAATGAGAACTGGTAATTAACATGCCAAATAGTAGTGCAAACGCATTACCTAAGATAATTCTTATCACTCGGAAGTGGGACTCTGCGTTAGTCAGAGTTCTCCAGAGAGACAGAAGCAAAGGAGATAGCAGCAGAGAGGGGGGCAGGGAGAGGAGGAGGGGAAGAGGGGAGGGAGATGGGGGGATTGAATAGAGGAATTAGCTCACATGACTACAGAGGCTAACAAGACCCATGGTAGGCTTTCTGTAAGCTGAAGAACCAGGAAGACTGTAGTACGGCTCAGGCCAACTCCAAAGGCCTTAGAAACAGGGAAGCTGCTAGTGTAATGTTCACTCCAAGGCCAAAGTCATGAGAACCTGTGAGTAGGAAGCTCTCTGAGCACAAAGCCTGGAGAACTTGGAGTTCTGATATCCAAGAGCAAGGAAAGGAAAATGTCCTAGCTCCAGGAGAAGGTGGGAGTTGTAGGGGGGAGAGAGAGAGAGGGAGAGGGAGAGGGAGAGAGAATGAATTCAGTTTTCCTCTGCTTTCGCTCTGTCTGGCCCAGTCAGTCGGATGGCACTCATCCGCATTAAGTAGGAGCAGATTCTCCCTACTTAGCACAGTGACTCAGATACAAATTTCTTCCGGAAACACCTGTATAAGCACACCCAGAAATACTGCTGTACCTGGTGTGGCTTGTGTGTACATGTCCACCCAAAGCCTCGTGAACCTGTAGGCAAGACTTTTTGGAGGTAGCTGGATCTAGGATATGTGCGTTTGGATTAAGGGTGTGTGACTATGAGTTAAGAACACGATGATTAAAGTAGTCCACTGAATGGTTCAGCTCAGATCTGGGTGTTTATAATTGACAGGTCCACCTGGTGTGGGTGGCACCATCCAATAAGCTTGTAGCCTTGACTGGGTACCCGAGAAAGGAACGTTTGATACTTCTCGCTGCTTTCTGCCTACCTTGCCATGGCAGTACCATGAACTGTTTCTCCTCTGCCATGTCCCTTTGTCATGCTGCCCTGCCTTGGAGCCAGCCAACTATAGTCTGAAACCTCTACAAACTCTGAGCTAAAATAAACCTTTCCTCCTTTAACTTTGGGTATTGGTTATTTTGTCTCAGCAATAAGAAAATCCCTTAATCTAACCAAGCTGACCACAAATACTAGCTGTCACAGATCTGTTCTTCTCTGGTTGAAGAAATTGAAGCCTAGAAAAGTTCTGTAGCTTTTCAATGTGGTGGCAGAGTTAGGGCTAGAGTCTACTCATTCTGATGCTAATACTCATTCTTCTCATGTGGCCAAGGTCTCTGTGTCCTTATTGATTGATTGATTGAGACAGGGTTTGACTGTATAGCTCAGGGTGTCTTTGAATTCACTATGTAGCCCAGGCTGGCCTCAAAGTTACAGTGATGATCCTGTCTCAGCCTCCCAAGTGCTGGGATTACATGTGTGTGCCAAAACACCTGGCTGCATTTCCCTGTAGCAGTGAATCCCAGGTTAGAAATGTGTGATGTACATGTGAATGATTGTATGTGAATGAGAAAAGCATGATTACATGGGTGTAGACTGATTCTCTGAGGTCAGCTTTATGGTCTGGGTTTTAACTTTATGAGATCATATTCCATAACTATTTTTTCCTAGACAGAAGATACTAAAACTCTCTAATACTTTCCATGTTTATCTTTTGTCTTTATCTTGGATCTTCAAATGCTTAAGGGCAACTTGATTCTCCACTTTGTGAAAAATAGAATCTTCCAAATCCAGTACTCATAGCTAATTTGTAATTGATTGTTTATGCAAGACATTTACCTTACATAGATAGTAGAAAGAAGGGAAAGGAGGCACACCCCAGCCCAGGTGGGACCAGTGACCCCACACCCCAGCAGGGTGCACACTGGGCAGGTGGGACCAGCAGAGAGGAAACGTCCAAGACAGCACTGGAAATATGAGCCAGCAGCTGGTGAGTTAGATGAACCAGCACTGTGCTTCAGCATGGAGGCACATAGAATATAAAGGGGTGGGTAGGGCTGTCCGTTTATATCAGAGAGCTCAGGGAGAACTCCAGCAAGAGAAGACCAGTCCCAGCTTCCACATCCAGAGGCCAAGATCAGCCCCATAACCAGCACAAATCCCACTGCAAACTTGGCTGAAGTGTATAACACCTTTCTAGGGTCTGATTTGGACCAACCACAGAACTGTGGGCACCAGAGGAATTTTACTACTTTTATGTCTCTGTTTGATTGGCTTTCCTTTTTCTGTCCAGTTGGATTTTTGATGTTGTTTTGTCTTGTTTTGGTTTGTGTGGTTTTTCTTTTCCTTTTCTTTTCCACAAATTAAATTTCTTACCTTTTTGTTTTCTACTCATCTTTTTTCTCTCTTTTTTTACTTTTAAAGAGAATAATAAAAAGAGAACAATAGCAAAATATCAATAACATAGACAAAAATGAAACAATGCAAAAATAATAAAAATGATACAGAGTTTCAGAACAAAATGATAGAAACTAACAGTGGTCATTATATTACATATTGCTGTCTTCAGCAAAGTTGCTCAGATTACCAGATGTAAGAATGAAAGACTGATCAAACCATTAAAGGAATAAAAAAAATAAAAAAAATTAGAAATGATGCAGAGTTTCACTAGACAAGATGGTAGAAATTCACCAATGGTTGTTATATTGCCTATTGTTGGTCTTCAAATTACTTGTTCAGATTACCAGATATAAGGATGCAAATTGATCAAAAAGAAAAAAATTAGGCATTAACTGTTCCTTTCAATAAATCATTAGATATCAGGAATACAGTTATCACAGCTATCCTTCTATATACGTATATATATATATTTTCTATTGTTTCTTTTTCTCCTTTCCTTCACCCCAATTGTTCCTTCCTTTGAGCAGTTTCTTTCCTTTTCATAATATCTATTGTACATTTTGGGTTTTATTTACTCTCTCAGGTTCTTACAGTTGGGAGAAATACAATGTTCACACATGTGGGTCGAATGTATTTCACTAATGAGTATGGTCTCTAATTGCATCCATTTACCTATAAAAGCCTTGAGTTTATCTTTTTTTTAATAGTTGAGTAATACTCCATTGTATAAAAATACATCTTTTTTATCCATTCCTCAGTTGATGGGCATTTGGGTTGTTTCCAAGATTTAGCTATAACAAATTGTGCTACTATAGACCTGGATGCACAGATATTGCTGTAGTATGATATTTTTAATTATTCTGGGAAAATATTGAAAAGGGGAATAGCTGGGTTAAGTGGGACTTCCAATCCTAGTTTTGTGAGGAATCTCCAGACTAATTTCCACTGTGGTTTCATCAATGTACACTCCCACCCCACAGCTTCTCCAGCATTTGTTATTGGTTGATATCTTGATGATAGCCATTTTTTCTGGGGTGAGATGAAATCTCAGTGTTGTTTTAACTTGCATTTCTTGAATGACCAATGATGTTGGACATTTTTTCATATGTTTATTTGCCATTAGTATTTCTTCACTGAGAAGTGTGTATTCATCTTACATGCCCAGTTTTGGATTAAGTCTTTGAATTTTGGGGGCCTGATCTTTTAAAATTCTTTGTATGTTCTAGATAGAGGTCCTTTGTCTGAGCAGCAGTTGGCTAAAGTTCTTTTCCTAATTTGTGGGATTTCTTTTACTCTGTTGGTGTTTTCTTTTGATGTGCAAAAACTTTTCAATAAGATGAGATCCCAGTTGTTGATTCTTTGAAGTATTTCCCATGCAGCTTGGTTTTTGTTCATGAACTCTCTGCCTACCCCTGTGTCTTCAAGATTTTTTCTTACTTGATTTTATGATACTTTCATGTGAGTAAACATTGTCTCTTCTCCTTCTAGTTCATTTCAATACTCCTTTGCTTTCCCTTCCCTTCTCTCTGTCCTGTGTCCTCCAGGTTCCAAAAACTTGGGTGATCATCCTTGGCTCTTCAGCATTACTCCTACTCTACTTGACCTCTTGTCCCTGATCCCTCCTAAACCTCATCTTGTCCCCTGTCCCTCTTAAAAATAACAGGATAAAAATCACTCCATTAAATGGAAAATCAATGCATACAACTCAAAATGAAAGTCAAAGGATGCAAAACAATACTCCACACCACAGGAACTCAGAAAAGCAGGGTAGTTATTCTATCTGCAGACAATATGAACTTTAAGCAAGACTAATCAAAAGAGGCAAGAAGGTCTCTACATAGTTGTTAAGGGAAAACTACAAGAAGAAGAGATAACAATAATAAAAATATATGCCCCAAATATCAACTACATAAAACAAATATTAACAGACATGAAAAATCAAATAACCAATAATACAATTATCATGGGGGACTTAATACCCTATTCTCACAATTAGATAGCTCAACTAGATAAAAAAAAATCAACAAAGAAATATCAGAACTATCCCAGTCTGTGAACAAATGGACTTAGTACATACCTAAAAAGTGTTCTATCCCACAGCATCAGAACACAGTTCTTCTCAACTGCACATGGTACATTCTCCAAACTAGACCACATATTAGCCCATAAAACATGTTTAAGTAAATACAGAGGAATTGAAGTCATCCCATGCATATTATCTAATCATAGTGCAATGAAATTGGAAATAAATGGCAAAAGAAACCACAAAACTACATAAGCACATGGAAATTAAATAACACCCTCCAGGAAACCAATGGGTCACAGAGGAAATTAAAAAAGAAATTGACTAGTATTGACAATTAAGCAATAATGCTGATACAACATAGTGGAACTTATGGGATGCAAGAAAGCAGTCCTGAGAGGGAAATTAATCAGGAAATCAGAATGAAACAAACAAACAGCCTAATATTGAAACTCAAACTTCTAGAAAAACAACAAATACACCCAAAACTTGTACAATAGAAGAAATTATAAAGATAAGAGCAGAAATTAATGCAATTGAGACTAAGAAAACAATACAAAGAA